AAACTAATACAGATTTTAGATTTTATTTACTATGTTTTATAATCAAAAGAAATCCAATATTAAATTATAAGATAATAAAAATTATAAGCTTCTGTATTATATATATATATATATATAATTATTTTCATTCAATTTATTGTAAGAATTTATTAATCTTCTACACTGTAACCAATTAATTAATAGATTATTTCATTTTAAGATTTGTTAACAATAATCAATACTCACCTTTTCTTTACATTAAGTCAAAACTCTTAATTTATTATTAAAAATATTATCCTATGAATTTTTTGTAACATCTTAAAAGAAAAAGTGTTGATTAAAGATGCCCAATACTTCGTAGGAAATTTTGGTATTCAGCAAGGGAAAGACTTTATTATTGGCTGAAGGCCCAATACTTCGTAGGAAATTTGTTTGTGCTATGAAGCTTAGGAAATTTGTTTGTGCTATGAAGCTTATAATTTTGGTATTCAGCAAAGAAAAGACTTTATTATTCAGCAAAGGAAAAGACTTTATTATTCAGCAAGGGAAAGACTTTAGTTGTTATTGTTATTGTTATTATTCAATGGAAAGGCTTTTAGAATGAAGACATGATATGCGCAAGAAAACTCAAGGTCATTATTCATTCAATGTTAAATAATGGTCCTAAATTATTTAGAAAATTTTAATTAGGTTCCTAATTTGCAGAAATTTGTAATTGGTCTCTAGACTAGAAAAGTAAGTCCTGGAATTAGTTTTTATAGCTTGAAACAGTAATAAAATAATGATTTATGACAGTTTTAAAATCTTATGAACTTGACTAAAAAAATTAAATAATCAAGGACCCAATTAAAAACTATTTTTTAGTTTAAGAACCTGCTTAAAATTTTCAAATGCTATATAACATTTAGTTTTTATATTACTAAATTTAGTAAAATAACATATCTAAACCTATTTTATAAACAACCAATTTAGTTTTAACACTTACTTTTAAAACCTTTCAAACAAAGCACTAACTTTAAAAAAAATGACTAGTTAGTTTGAACACACCTGGTTTAGTATTCCCTCTTTCCTCTTCGTCGTTCATATGCATTCTAGTGTTAATCGAATCAACTTCCTCCACATAGGTTTCAGGTATGGCTACAACAAATATTTATGAAATCATATAAATCATATTTGCATAAGAAAATTGAGTTAATAATAAATATGAAAAGGACATACATGTTTAGAAGAAAAAAAAATGTAAAAACAGTTGTGGCTTAATTAAACCACAACCAAAACGTTAAAAGACAATATTGAGTCTTCATCACACTTACCACCTATGAATTATTTTTTACTAACTGATAAAAGTGCACTCATGACTACGTGTTAAAATAGAATTTAAGTTGAATTTAAAAGTATATATAATTCTATACTCTAATCTTTTGCACAACTCAATGTAAGATTATAATAAATTTTGATTCTAAGCCTATTTCAATCATAATTAATATAATTAAAATTGAAACTACAATTTTGAACTATAACTTCATTACTTAAAAAGCTGCTTTATTCTGTTTTAATAATTATAAAAGATTGTCTAAATAAGGATATTTGCGAAGAGAATATATACCAGAAAGGGGAAAAAAACGTGGAGAGGAGGGTGACTTACCATTGTAAAGCCATTGTAGCCAGAAATTAGGTGGATTTACACTGGGAAATGCAGATGGTTGCTGAGCCAATGCAAATAAAGGACTAACACCATCAAATTTCATGGTGAGGGGTATTCTTGGATTATTTTTCAGCAGCTTCCATGCAACATCTGATTAATCGTGAAAATGAATAAATATGTTTTTAGTAATGTAAAATGAATAAATTTTGATTTTAATTTCTGAAAAAAAAATCTTCATTTTTTATTTCTCTAAAATTTAGAAGTATTATTTTTAATTCCTACTATTATATGATCATTTTTAATTACTTATTTGTTTATTTAAGTTATTACTTCCATGCATGTTTTGACTTTTGATTAACATGTTTTGGTATTTCCTATGAGTTGGACCAATAGGATGTGGTCATCTATCCACCCTTGTCACATCAATTATAGAAGATAATTATATATTACATAAGGATAAAAAATTATTCCGAGTTATTTACTTACAAGTCAGGTTGTGATTTTTTTCACGAGTTATTGGATTATTTTTTTTCACGAGTCATCTTCAACCATTCTCCTATAACGCAGAAACCTTTCTTAAAAAAAAAACTAAAACAAGAGTCAACGATCTTGAGTAATGGTGTGTTTATGCTAGAACTTCTTCACTATTTTCAATGATTTGAAAGGACTCAAAGATTCATTACAACTCAAACATCCCCTCACATCTTCACTAATTGTAAAAACCCTAAAAATAAGATGTTCATTTTTTTTCTTTGTGCCCCATTTTGAACCCATTTTGATTCGTCCAAATTATTTTTTCTTCTTTTTTTCATACTAAATTCTTGGTTTTCATCTTTATTATGTTTGAATTGAAGAAATACATGACTTTGGGATTATTTTGTGTCTGTTACCATTACAAATGGGACCAAATGGGGTTCTAAATCATCTAGGCTTCCATGTTTATGTAAAGCAAGAAGAATCTCTTTTGGCCTCATTTGTAATGGTAATTGATACAAAAGAATCCCAAAGTTATGTACTTCCTTGATTCCAATATAATAAACATGGAAACCAAGAATTTAGTATGAAAATAAGAAGGAAAAATTATTTGAGTGAATCAAGATGGGGTTCAAAATGGAATACAAAGTAAGAAGAATGAACTCACCTATTTTTTTGGATTTCAACAATAAGTGAATCTGTGTGTCGTAGTGAATCTTTGCCTTTTCCGAATCGATGAAGATAGTGAAGAAGTTCTAGCAAGAGCACACATTGTTGCTCAAAGTTGTCGAATCATGTCCAAGTTTCTTCAATAAAGGTTTCTTTATTAGAGAAAAAAAAATGCTGATTAAAGGAGAAGGTTAAAGATAACCCATGGAAAAAAAATGACCTAATAACCCATAAAAAAATCTTGACCCAACTTGTAAGTAAATAATATGTGATAAAAAAAAAGTTACCCTTATGAATTATAATATAAATGTGTGTGTGTATATATATATATAGAGAGAGAGAGAGGGAGAGAGAATAAAGTTAATAAGAGAGAGAAAATATTTTATTTTATTTTAAAATTAAATTAAATTAAATTATTATAATATCATTTATACAAATTAATCAAATAAAAAAAATGAGTGATTTTCTTGTCCTAAAATTTTAGTATAGATTGTTAACATACTCCAACTAAAAAATAGGTGGGAATATATTAACATTCCCCATATATATATATATATATATAAATTTGCACATAAACACCTAAAAGTTAAGAGTAATATTTAAAAACATTCCTCTCTATAATTGATGTGATAAAAGTGGACAACTATCCACATCTTATTGGTCAAACTCAGAGAAAATACTAAAACATGTTAATCAAAATATGCATGAAAGTAATAACTATTTATTAAAAGGTTACATAATTAGTTTAGTTGTTATCTATAACTATCGGGGGTAGTATATAATTAGAGTTAATCACCTATACACTGTTAGTATAAAATTTTTTTACACTAACAACTAATTATATCTTTTAATTGTATTATGTCACTGTAAACACATTTACTTTTAACAGTGACATGACACAATTAAAATATATAATTGGTTGTCAGTGTAAAAAAACTTTACGCTGGCAGTGTATAAATGATTAACTCATATAATTATGTAACACCTTTAAAAAAACTTACATATCATTAAAATAAAGATTATTTACATTGTTAGGGATTAAAATAATAACTTTAAATTTTAGAGAGATAAAAATTAATAAAAAATATTTATTAGAAACTAAAATTAAAACTTATTCTTTTTATATAGACTAAAATAATATTTAAGTGACAAAATAATCATCTATAAAAAAAAAAAATCAATGTTAAAACATATATGTTGTTTATGGAAATGAAATAATCGAGTGAGATAAGCGTGTTTAATTCATTTTTGAAACATATAATTGGACTTGATGTAATAACTAGATATAATTCATTTTTGAAGTTTGGTAAATTTTTTTTTTTAATCTTATATTTATAAAACGGCCATTTTATATTTATTATATTATGTCATATTATATTATATGTATAAAACGCCTAATTTAATAACCCTAAATCAAATTAAGCCTAATATGAAGCACTTGCCCATTCAGACTTTGATTGGAAATGCACATATTTAGCAGTTTAGATTTTTGTGTTAAGTTGTTACCAAATATCTGACTAGTGATGCATCTGGTAAGAAGTAAAGCAGTGGTGTAGCCGCTGTCCTCGTTGAACACCTTCACAGGAGTTTCACTAAACAAATACTTGGCCATATTTTTGTTGCCTTTAACAGCAGCAAGCACAACCGGTATCAACCCCTCGTTAGTCTTGATTGTTAACAAGTCTTTGTTCCTATCAACCATGCATTTGGCCACAGAGATAGTGTCACTCAACTCTGCAGCAAGAGCCAGCGCCGTATACCCTCTTGTATCGCGTTCCAACAGAAGCCGTTTTGGCACTTTGTTTACCAACTTTTCCACCATATCCTCTTGTCCAGTGAGAACTGCAACGTGAACAACCGTCTTCCCCAATTTTGAAGCCTCATACATTGCTTTCCGATTGTTGTTCACGAATGTGCTTGCAGTATCCCAATCGCCTCTTTGTACACCTCTATGAAGTAAAGGCAATCCTGAAATTTAATTTTTCAAAAATATTGAAATGTAATTGAGACTAAATTGAGAAAGAGAGAGAGAGATTTAAAATTACCTTGCTCTATGTCAGCAGTAGCTCCAAGTCTAGACTTGTACAAGGAGGCCAAGGTATTCCAGGCACTTTTGGCCGTTGTGGTTTCTTTGATCTGAGAGAAAGTTTCGGATCCGCAAGACATCTGAATAATGTGCAAAGCCTTGGCGTTTTGTTCTTCTTCCATTGTTCGGAGGAATAATCGGGTGCTGTTCCAGCATCTTCAATAACGCTACTCCACAGATCTTGGCTCACCAGATAGTTCTTCGCCATAATGCTCCAATCCTCATAGTTGTCAGGGGTAAGGGTTTCCGAAACCATTCCATTCCACGAACCACACTTTGCCATAACCGATTCAGTAAGGGAAACACAGACTTCGCTGCAACAGAGTCAACTCATTAAAAGATGCCAAATGATAGGACCAACCTTCTTCAGTAGGCCCAACCCGAATAAAGAAAGACTCATTATTACTCCTCTCACTAAATACTTTCACCAAATCAAATACTAACTCAATTCCACATATATAGAGATACACTCTTCTTACAAAGTAGAACATTTGTTTAAATAAATAATATATATATAGGGTTCTAAATCATCTAGGC